GTGTCATGTGACCAGCACAATAACCAACCCTAACCCTAACCAACTTTTCATTAACTTATGTCAGGTACCCATTAGAGCTGGGTGGACTCGAGGCGCCCAAAGATCCAGTACTTTAAAAAAAAAAGGGAAAACTATTTCCAATGGCACAAATTTATTATTCTTAGTCTAGATCTGTTAAAAATTAATTATGTGATTTAGTCACAATAATTGATACAATTGCACTTAACATAAGCTTTTTTTAAATATATATTTTACTTGTTATTTAGTTCTAGGTTTGCAACAGTTTTTTTTTAATTATTTGTTTAAATCTTTCATCTTTGTTTCCTGTTTCAAATGGCTGAAAGAAATTGATTATGTTTATAAAGAGTTTGTGTTGGAGGTAATGTTTTCAATGTTTGGATGGTTAGTCTATACCTTTATAGACATCACAAGCAGATAACTGTGCTGTGTTACAGTTGCAATCCTCTTACATAGAGTATGTACAAACACTTCTTATGCCCATCGGTTGTAGCCTTCTCGTTTGCCTTATAACACCACCCCGCCACACAAATAGAAAAAAAAAAGAAAAGCATCTTCCCCAATAACACACTTTTGGCCCTTATATATTCAGTGGAACATTCAGCATTACATTAAAATCACATTTTTTGGGGGGCATCTTGCAATAGAAAGCCCTCATCCCCAACCACGAACTTTTAGGCCAACCAACTTTTCTTTTTGCAAGCCTCAAATGAAAGGCCAGTAAACCACATTTGTGGCATCTAAATCTAGTTTTTTTTTAAATTGTGCTACACATTATTATTAACTGTGGTCTTTACATTTCAAACTTTTGCCATTTTCTCCACACACTCACACACACACACACACACACCCTTTCATACAGATGTTTTTGTGTGAAAACACATTTGATAGTCACACTGATCTACAGATAATCTATCACATTCACTGACAATTATCTAGATCTAGAAGAAAATACAAATACAAAACAAAACAGAAATGAAAGTAAGTTACAGACCAACATTTGTTGTCAATAAATGCCTAAAGGGAAAGAAAATATAATTTTAAACTTTAAACATTGAAAATCTCGGCTTTTAAAAAACATATTATATAAAGTCAAAATTGTGAATAAATTTTTTTGGCAAATTTTACCACTGCAAATTTGATTATGAACATGGCTTCATTGTTCTAGGCTTAAGTTGAATAATAACAGGTTAAATTTTTATATTTTATCGTCAAAAGTGGAAGAATTAGTGATTATCAGTCATTGTCATCAGGACCAAGGATTTAATATAGTAGATTAGAACAGTTAAAATATTTATCCAGAAAATAATTTGAACAGGCATATATATTATAAAGTAGGCTAGACCATTATTTAATGATAAAAATGTTTTATTAATGTTTAAAATATTATATTGTGATCTTTCAGAAATTTCTCATCTGAATGATGAGCTGGTTGAGAAAATGGCACGCAGTAATGACCCTCAGGAAATATCTTCCCTGATGATCAGAGCCCTGTCCATGGCAAGCACACCACAGGACCAGCAGAAGCTTTTGGTGGAGTTGACCAAACAGGTTGAGGAGAGGAAGCTGAAGCTGGCTGAGGTTGCCAGGAAGGGGGCTCCCTTTGTGGGACCCAGAGGTGAGGAGAAAAGTGAGATCCCCACCTATGTAGCAACTGGGGTCAAGGACATTGATACAAACATATCAAGCCTTTTTCAAACTTCTGAACTAGACACTAAAAAAAGTTCAAGTAATGTGTTCACTGCTTTTTCAGAATCTTCTGATGTATTCTCTGTAACAAAATCACTGCCATCATCACTATCTGGTACTGCAAACACTGCAGCAGGTTCCTCCAACACAGATCCTCATATCACAAACTCTCTAAATGAGATCATTGCCTCATCTGCCACAAAACCACCAGAAGCTACATTGTTAACACATTCATCTACTGATAAAAACATGACTGAGCAGAAAGATTCTGCTGGTGGCATCAAGTTTTCTTTTTTGAAATCTCTTGCCAAACCCATGGCTCCTGTGACAGCACTTTCTGTGGAAATGGCAGAGTCCAAACCTAAGCTGACTCTATTAAATGAAGACACATCTTCTCAGCAGTCGTTTAACTCTGACAGCTCTGAGGCGACAGAGAGCACCCTCAAAGCGGGGTCAACAGCTTCGGCTGAAATCCCTGATGCTCTGAAGGCCCTCATGAACGATGTCATGGGGAACACGCAGTTCTCATCCCTGGAGCGCAGGAGTAAGAAACTGCTGAAAAAAGAAGCGGACAAGTCTGCCAGGGAGGAGCAGGAGAAAAAAGTGTTAGCTGACCAAGGTGAAGGTCAAAAAAGACCAGAGGAAGAGTTAGATGCCAAAAAGATTTTAGACTGTTTGAAAAAGGCTGAGAAACTTGGCAGCACTGTTAGCTCTAGTGCCACTGGCAGTAACAATGGTGGAGCAGAGGCTGACAAACCTCTGATCACTGGGCCAACACCAACCATTGATGAACTCTTGGAAACTCTAAAGAAAGGAGGGTTGTTTTCTGTGCCGAAACCTGAGGGTGCTATCCCAGCAGCCACACTGCCACCGTCTGATGCCAATGCAAATACACTGCTTGGTGGCAACCAGTCCACAGACATGGTGACATCATCTGACTCAGCATCAAACATCACTGGTCTCCCTGGTATGTTGCTTAACTTGCCTACAACTTCAGTTGACACATCTCTTGATGTTGATCTCAGGCAGAGTGTGATGATGGTGCAGCCATCAGTTGTTCCTTCAGCTGCTGAGTCATCCACTGGCAGTGATGTCAACTCTGAAGAAGCCACAATATTTGGAGACTATGATGCCAGAATAACATCCAGCATTCAGGACCAAGATGAAAGATCCATGTTTCAGGACAGAGACGATCGTCTGTTTAGGGCTGGCCCTCCTCCTCCTCCCAAACATCCACTTGATCCTCATGCCTTTCCTCCACTTCCAGTAGATCCGCATAGCTTTGCACCAAGACCTCACCCAGTACCCCCTCCACCCCATGGCCCTCTTCATCCGAGGTTTCCTCTTCCGCCCGGAGAGCCTCACATCCCTTACCATCCAACGCCCAGGACAGCTTTGATGAGGCCATCTGTGCCCAAAGGAAGGTTGCAGCCCCCTCCCCCTGGGACTGAATTTGAAAAGCCTGCTGGTGTCATGGGCATAACTAATGACTTTCCCCCAACAGATGTGGATTTGAGAGGAACCAGTAGACAACCACAGCCCCCTAATCAGCCCCCTCCTCCGCTGCCACCGCAACCCCCTCCTCCACTACCACCTTTGCCAGGAAACAGGGGAGCACAGTACCCAGGCCCCTCCCCTGGGGATGTGGACTTTCGAAGTGGTCCCACTCACCACCAAGACTTTCGGGGCTACTCAAATAGAGGCAGGCCTTTCCACAGGCATTAGCATAATGTCTGTTGGTATTACATTAGTGTCGTGAGATTCACCTGACATTTTCAGTGACTGGCTTGCCTTGATTAACAGACCAGTGATAAAGTCATATTGCTGCTGGTGGTGTGTGCAAAACAAATGTCTGTGGGACTAAGTATGTGTGAATATCTACAACTGTTTGTTCTTTTAAATATTCATTATTACAGTCTCAATGAGAAGCACAAACATTATCAAAGCTTTTTGAGGGAAATAACTCTTAGTGTTGTAGCTCATGCCCCATGTCTATCCCCCAGCTTTAAGTGTACCCCCCCAGCCTACCAGTTGTGTAGCTGCAAAACTTTTGCTGGTCATAAGCTTGCTGGCACATTGAAAAGATAAAAAGTAAAGGTACTTTATAAAAGCTGTTATAGCTGTGCGTGACCACTAGGATGATCTGATTTCATTAAAACTGTTTCAGTTAGATTACCTGCTGAAACAGATGACTCTCCTATGACTGACTGGGTCAATGTGTTTACTGGAAAGAAAACTGCCACTGGTCTAAACATTCATCACCAGCCACCACTTACTGTTGTTTTATTTGTTTTTTACAATAAAACATGTATTAGTCTGTATTTTAACATGATACTGGTCATTAACTCCCTTGGTTTAGTTGTAAAATGAATTCACCATGTTGGTCACGTGACATGTGTGTCCGACAATGTCCAGATCCTTCTCTGGTGCTGCCTTTCCAACTTTCATCCAGACACACATTATCATGAGACAATGTATGGATAATGGATAAAGAATGAATGTTTGGTTTCATCCCATGATTTTTATAACTGGTTGAAATGTTTGGTGTAAGAGTTAAAACTTTTTATTGAGCTGATTACTCAATCCACTGATTGTTCTTGTCTTCTGGTATAGATTTATTATCATTTGGGTGAATTTTTTCAAGACTCTGGAGGTTTGCACAACTTTTCAGGCCTTCAGAAGGACTTAACACTAGCTAGGACATTTTTGTATAAAAGTGTATTAAATCATCACTTAACCATATTAGTATTACCAATGCATCTGGGTTAGAAAAAAAAAAGGACATTGCTGTTTGTAAAATGTTTTGTTTTACATGTTTCGGATGTTCCTTCAGAGTTGAAGATAGTTTACTTCCTAGTCCAAACCTCCCGCAGGACGACGGGGGATGGGAGCGGGCAAGATTTGAACCCTCGACCATCGATAAATCCAAACGACAGTCCAGCGCGCAAACCGCACGACCAGGCAGCCATCCACGACCAGGCAGCCATCCATTGCTGTATCTGTTTCTTTCTTGTCACATACTTGAACTGCACTTATTGGCACTGAGGAAGACATGCATTAGCCACTTCTCAGCCCATACATCCTACTGGCCTTCAAAAGTGCTAAAAATTAATGTTCTATTTTCCTTTTTAATAAGTTAACTTTTATCTATATTATAATATTTGGTTCCTTTTTATCTGCTTGCACTAAGAGATGTGGCACCTTGGGATGTTTGATTAATGTCTGCCAATAGGTCCGTACTCAGTATGACATGAAGTCCCTCTGCTTCAATGCATGAAAGTACATTTAAAGTTGTTTTTTTTTTTTTTTTTTTTTTTTTTGCTGCCGTTAGTGTGGTCCTGTTTGAAGTGAAGATTGTTGACTCTCTTTAAAGCCAGTCTTCTAAACCCAATGTTTTTTTGAAAACATTGGGTTTGATTTTTTAATGAGAAGAATCTGTTCAAATTTTACCACTGGTCATCAATTGTCCTTGTATTGTGACCAGTGACTTTTTTACTCTTTTTTTTTTTTTAATGTAAGTTAATCCCCCCCCCTGTCAGTATTGCCAACATTTGTCAGGAATGGTTGAAGAAGTTCAGTTGCATGGAATTGTGACTCATTATTTCTCTTCGCCAGGTATCTGCTCTGGCTTTTTTTTTTTTTCACAAATTTGTTTTTGTTATATTCTTATTTGTTCCTTTGTGATGTTTCCGATTCAGTCACATGTTTTAGTCACTTGTTTAATGTGTTTTCAAAATTAACATAAAAAGTTTTTTGTTGATGATAGCAAACATTCAAATCCACTAAAACAAAAACATCAGAAACATGCGTTGTTTATGCAATCAATAGAGCTAAAGAAAAAGAAGTGATCTATTGGTACTTAAACAATTAGTAATGTGTATTGCACAGTTTGTGTGTGTTTGTTTTAGTTCATGATGTATGATGCATTGAACAAATAGACAATTAAAACTAGAAATCTCTTGAGTTTGTTCTCCACTTGGTTACCATTGGATGGCAGTGTGAATGAATGCAAGTAGCGAAGTGAACCCAGAGGTTTCATCCTATCTGAAATTACATTTCAGAGCTCAACATCTTTTTGTGTACTTGTAGCACATTATATATATAAATTTAAGCTCAAGATCAATCTCACATATCTTAAGAAAAAATGTTTCCACAAAGAAAAAAAAGTCAAAAGGAGTCTTAACAGTAAATCTGATGTCAGTAAATTATTTTATGAGTAGTCTTATGGTTATATTAGCCTATGCATGTAGACTGCATCTTGTTAAGTCAATTATTTATACTATTGAAATAACTTAAGGTCAAATTTTTTTATATAGGCATAGCATTTGTGAGAACATATTTGGATGAATCTTCTGTAAAGTGGCCCACAAAAAAATTCAGTAAGAGTATCAGTATTGTCTACAGTAGTTACTTCACTTTTCATGATGGTTTTGAGAGACAGATACAAATAGATGTCCATCATATGAGACTAATTTGTGGGTAATGGCAGGAGCAATTAGGACACTCTGCATTGTGATAGCATTCTAGTTCACATATACAGCCAGTGAGAGTGAGATTTAATACAACTGAAGACTTAAGTTCAAAGTGGCCTGATTGTGAATTAATTCAAAACAAAATTGTTCAAATATGCAGAAACTTTTTTTTTCAAAAGCCCATTACACCAGCTGTTTTAGGATTTTATTTGTCTTTGTCTATGCAAACACACCACAGATTGAAACATAAACTGGCTTTAGTAGTATCCACATCATCAACATATGAAGTGTATACTGAATAAAAAAGAAACTGGAAAAAGCTGTGCCTGTATTGAACATACATAGACAACAACTTGAACATTGGACAGAAAAAATATTTTAAGTTTGCATTGATTGAAATAGAGATAACTTCAAAACTCACCACAATCTTACTAAGTTCTACAAGCATACCCACATGCATCCATAGAACCTGATCTCACTCTCATGTACAAAATGCTCTCTCCCTCTCTCTCATGTACAAAAGGCTTGTACTTGGACCTCATCATAACATTTATAAAATATAGCAAAATTAACAAAGGCTACTTCAATATGTCAAGGGTGGAAGTATCAAAAACCCTTAAAAAGGTTCTGTAGTGCTAAAATGTTCAATGCACAAACATTTGTCTAGTACCTCAAGCTTTGGAGCCAAAAGTTTCAATAGAACCAGGGGCTGTTATGAAATGGTATATTAAATCATTGAAACAGCGCTGTTACGTAATTAGAACACGTGAAATGTTTCCAACTGTTTGGAAAGGAGAATTTTATATAACAGAGTTCACCCAACTCTATAATAAGTACCTAATTGCAGTTGAAAATAATTGTGCTCAAGAGAATAGCTATTAAAAAGCAGTGAACTGATCACTTGCTCTTAAGAACCACCAAGTCTTAAGAATGAACTAATTTTTTGATTAATGTTGGGTGACCACACTGGGAAGCCTTTGTTTATTTTCCTTACATGTTACATGAAGTAATAAATATGAAATGTCAATACACATACACACTAATGGTGGCTTTTAAAACAACTAGTTTGCATTTATAAGCCAGTTGTCTGCCTATCACAGAGTTGGCAGCTCTTGCAGATGAATGAATTATTGTTACAGAGATATTTACATACCAAATGTCCCAGTAATGTACAGTAGATGCATCACAAAGTAATTATAGCTATTTTAATTTCTATTTCTTTAATCAAAAACATAAAATAAAGTGGAAAAAAATAGAATTATAAGATTTACAAACATAACAATTAAATAGAGAAATAAATTTTTAAAAAATTAATTAATTTACATTTTTTTTTTAAAGTCAAGTTTCCCCTCCCCCAATCATGACATTAAAATCTCAAGCAGTCCATCATGCTGCCAAAGTAGAATATTTTTCACACTTATGGCTAAAATTATTTTATTTTAATATGGACTTGAGTCAATTACATGGAGATAGTAGCCATAAAAACATACAATAAATACACCACAAGAAGTTTAAAAAAGTGATTATTAAAGATTGAATTGTTCATGACAAAACATGGTTTCAAAACAACCGGAGATAAAAGGGAGGCTATAAGCTAAAGTGAAGTTAAATATTGTGCTTCACTTAGAAATAAGATTAGCGTCTTACACATAAAATTAGTTAAGTATTTAATTTATTCTTATTTACATAAACTCATTTTCGGACACTGACAGCAGTGGAATAATAATTAAATTCAAGGTGCATCCTCCCAGAGTTCAGTACTACAATAAGAATTCATATAGGAATGTGTTATGATGTTTGTAATATTGGCCAATTCTATGCAATGTTAATCTAAAATAGAACAATTAAGCAAAAGAAATTAAGATTTACATCTTTGAAAAAGTTTCTGTAAAAAAATCGCAATGAAAAAAAAAAAATAGAAAAGTATCAATTTTTTCTATTTTTGCATAAAATTTCTATGATAATGCCATCTATTTTGAAAATGTAAAAATTTGTAATCTACATTATATCATTAAAAAATTACATTAGATACTTTTTTTTCATCGATATCAATCTGTATAAATGTATTGAAATAATTATGATTGCATTTGACTTCTTGAGATTCACTACAGCTAAGATTTGTTATTTGACTGCATTTAGCATTCATTTATCATCATAATAAGCAAAGAACAAAACAAGTTAACATAAATATGATGTAGGCCAAGCTTGAAAAAAAAATACACCGCTTTGATCAGGGGTGTTGCTAAGAATTTTCCATCGTTTGGTGGTCAGGGGGGCTTGACCTATTTGGAGCCCCTGCATTTTGCGTAATATTTAATTTTTAATGTAAAAACAGTCATTTGTGGGCCCCTCTCAAACCAAACCAAAATGTGTAAACAGAAATACTGTTGTTTTTTTTTTTAAATATATAATTAGTGTCATGTATGAACTCAGAATGATGTATATCACACCCAAAAAGTCATCTTTTCCTTAAAACATGAACTTCCATATGTCATTGGAACTTCTTGCATCACTATATGATGTTTATTTTCTGATGTTTAATTCTTTAGAATGTCATCTAAAGCTGAGCATATTTTCATGAAATTAGGCCACTAGACAGCCATGTCTATAACTGCTAAAGTGACCAGCCTTTAGGGATTTTCACAAGCCTGTTTCCTTTTCAGAATATCTAATCACTTGTCAGCCAAACCAGTCCCCATTCAAATTAACTGCAGAGAGGTGTTTCAATGTTGTATTTGCTAACAGAATAGGTTACAAATTTGCCCAATAATTGACGGAAAATTTTATTCACAAAATTAGAAAGCAATTGATTAGTTGGACAAATGACATAACTTTGTTTTTTAAAAATGATAAACATTAATGTGTAGCATAAAACAAACAGAATGAATGAAAGTTGAAAAATAATTTCCTAAAATTAAACTTTGTTGTATCACCAAGGTCAGTAATCACAATAGCAGGCTGTACACAATATCAGAAACACTTGACACAAGCAATACATCTCAACAGGATAATGTTTTGATTACTTCTTGTTTTTTTTTACTAAGTGATACCTTGAATGCACACTCAAAATAAAATTACATAATGAGACTGCAATACAGTGTACAAAAGTATCAAGATAAAAACATGGCTCCCATTCTATACAATTTTAGTATGATTATTATTGACATATTCAAAAAATTATTCTTGAGCATAAAAGTGTGAACTAAGGTTTTGATCATATTTTTCAGTGAACAGACATAGACAATTAATTGTAGTCTTAATTATATACATTGCATTGTTTTTAATACAGACAAACATCACTTTGATCCCCCCTCAGGGGTCATATTACACCGGTCAAAATAAAAATAAAATTACAAAGTCTGTAATAACAGCAATTCACTTCCCATGATCCAGACAACACTTGATCATGAAGAATAAAGAAAAGCCAAAATATATTTTCTATAATCCTTTCAGTGACTCGCAGAAGTTGAAACAGTGACTCGCAGAAGTTGAAACAATACTCAATGAAGTAATGCTTCTTGGTGTCAATATAATCTCTAGTAGAAATTTAGCCAATCAAAACACATAAAGTATATTTTTTGTAATGTAAGGCAACACTTGATTGGCTGCTTCTCGTTAAGTCTGTCCATAAGTTAGTATGTAATAAAACTGGTCACAAGAATGCAATATGTCAGAGCAAAAATCAATGCGCCAAATAGGTCGTTGCCACAACCGATGTTCTGCCAATACTGTTATAATCAGGAGGGTTGTCATTCTGCCTTTGGCCATTCTGATGGCGGTAGGTTCCATTGGCATCATCTGTGGAGTCTTCATTCAGCTCTTTACTGTTGAACACTTTAGCTTTGTTAACAGGGGGGCCTGAAAAATTGATGGAATGCAGTATTGAGACAATTTCATTAATCATAAGTACAATGTTACTAGATCTAAGTACAAAACAGATTTCACCTTAAACAATGCATTAAAAATCAAGTATTCTTGTAAACAGTTGATAAATAGAATTGTCACTTTATGAAATGTATACAGTACTTTGTAAAACATTTGACCTTTTTTACCATTGTAAACCTGATTGTACATTACTTCAAATATCATAAATATAGCCATTAGACAAATCAAAATGAAAAAAAAATGCGTGTGCACTAACCCAGATAACTGAGGAATACAGGCAAGAAAATGAGGCCATGTGTAGCACCAAAGACAACTATACCCAAGTACATTCTGAAGTAAAAAACCTGGAACAACTGGGACTTGGAAAAACCCAGCATAATGATGCCACCCAACTTTGTCAGAGTGATACCACTCAGCACCTGAAAAAAATCACAAAGAGAAAAAAAAGACATGATTAAATGCTGCAACAAATCTTAATTATATGTACTGTTTCTTTAAAGATTTCAGTTTTTAAATAAAATGAAAGATTTGTGTTAATTATAAACAGCAATAATAAAAAAAATGGGGCATTCATTACAGAAAGTTTGACAACTTTTATTGAAA